CGCCATCCCCCACTCTACTTCACTTATACTCACATTACAACTGAGGGCTAAGTCCACCACAGTCACTTGAGTGACAGTTATTCACTCTCCATCAAATAACATCAACCCCTTATTAATGGATGCTGTGGCCTAAAGTATGGAAATCATGGGGACAAATCAATTCACCAAAATCCTATATGACTAACCTTCAAAAATAAAAAGGGAATCTAGACATAGTGGTACACAACTGGAATCCCAGGTACTTAGTAGGCTGAGGCAGGAGGATGGCAAGTTCCAGTCCAGCCTGGGAAACTTAGMAAGACCCTGTCTCAAAATATAAAATTTAAAAAGGTACTGGGGAAGTAGCTCAGTGGTAGAGTAYTTGCCTAGCATGTGTAAGGCTCTGGGTTCAATCCCCAGTACAACAGAATAAATAAATTAGGAATATCTGTAGGYTTTTCTAAAATTCTAAGGCACTTTTAAGGAGAAGAAAACAGAATAGGCAAGCAAATATGTAAATATCCTCACTTAGACTCCCACATGTCTAAGACTTCCTGCACTGAGACAGTTTTGCTAAAGCTCCTGCCCCACTTACTAAAATGTGGCCGCCTGCTGTCTAGGAGTCCCACTTGCTGGAGCTAAAYCCAGGAAACAGAAAGAGCAGAGTTTGCCTTAGTCCTGCCCAGTGCAGTAGAATCTGGTGCCCAGCTGCCCAGCTGACCAGAGATGGCCAAGAGCTCCACCCAAGAGCCTCAGGCTCTGAGGGCGGCTCTCGTCCTCTCTCCTTTGATGGGCTCCTACTCTCAGAGCYAGTACAGCAGCCAATGGGCCCTTCCTTTCATCTTCACACAACAGTGAACACAGGAATGGCCCCTGAATCTTTCTTTCTCAAATGGTGTAGCTAGAAAATAGCAAGACTGGTGTTATGGTCTATACAGGAGATGGCCTCCAAAAGTCCTGTAGCAATGCAGGAATATTCAGAGGTAATATAATTGGATTGTGAGAACTATAACCTAATCAGTGTCTCTTAGTTTGAATGGACCAGCTAGGTGGTAACCGTAGGCAGGTGGGGCATGGCTAGAGGAGGGGTCACTGAGGTCATACCCTGGAAGGGTACATCTTCCCTGCAGCCCTTTCTCTTTTTCCTCTCTGTGCTTCCTGCCTGCCATGAGTTGAGCAGCTTTCCTCCGTCACACCCTTCCGCCATGATGTTCTGCCTCACGTTGGGCCCCCAGCATTGGACTGGGCCTACCATGGACTAAACCTCTGGAACCATGAGCCAAAATAAACTTTTCATCCAATAAGTTGTCCTTGCCAGGTATTTCTGTCACAGTGACAGAAAGCTGACTAAGACAACTGACTTTTAGGTTTCATTTATTGAACTCCTGCATGTTAAGAACYGAATGCCACATGTTTATCTGCTTTTTCAAGCTGAGCTCTATGAATTGGTCAAACAGAGTTTCCAGAAGGAAGAGAAAAAGCATGCTAAGTTACCAAGTTAATTTGGGGATTAAGCAAGGTTTTGATGAGTCTCTTAGGCCAGGTCATTGGACCAAGGTAGGCACTCCCCCCAATCTCACCTGACCCCACACCCATAGACATGTCCAGAAATGCCACCTTTGCCGCAACTAATGAAGAAAAACTTTCTCTGCTGCATTTACAAGGTAGTTTTGTTTGAAATGATAAGAATCCAACCTCTACAACTAAAAGCATCAAATTTTTCCTTCAACATACCCTCAATGGGATATCTAAAGCTATACTAGCAATTTATTGGATTGAATTTGAAGGAGGAGAATTGTTTGAAGATCCTATTAAATCACAAGAGAACTTTCATTTCCATTTTCTAGGACATTTCCTTTATAGTGATAACGTTCAAAGACATACAGAAAAGCATAGTTAAAAATAAAGTGATATTTTAAACTGTGGCTAGATAACTGTCGCTACTACAAAAATCCCAGGAGTACAGAGCTAAAAAAAATGGAAAATTATTGCTGTGTGAAGCATTCAACTTTAAATTGCCTTTTAAAGAGACTAGTTTCACCTATGGTACACCACAGTCTTACTTAGTCACCCTAAAACACTACAATGTCCAGTAAACATTCATCCTACCCCATACATATGACAAAACCTTTTATAAGTCTTGATTTGTTAATAGAGAATTACAATGAACCTTATATGGGTGCCAAGAAATAGCACCCACTTTGATAGAAAGTTCTAGAACATTCTTGAAATCCATCTATTGTACTTTCAACAGAGACTAAACAGAATGGGGGCAGGGTGGGAAGGAGTTTAGATGCATTACATGGCCACATCTTATTCAGAAACAACTATAAAATGCAACAGATATTATGGATCTAAAGTTGTTCTTTTATTTATCATCAGAATCTTATCCTGAGAGATACCAGGGTCCTTAAAAACACTCATGTAGATCCCCAAAGGAAATGGAAGTGTCCTTCTCCTTAGACAGAAAATTGACGMCCTCTCCATAGTGTTAAAACCCCTCACGCAGCAAAAGAGTCAACAAAATGTATCAGAAAGCTAGAATTAAGGGAGATTTCTAGTTTTCATCTTTTCAACTTCTCTGTATTTTGCAAAAATTATTTTCAGTGATCATTTGTAACTTTTAGTGTCTAAAACTAAAACTCCAAAAAGCAAAGTTACAGCATCAAAAAAAAAAAAACTTTTTTCTTGAAGTTGTACACATCGAAATAAATAGGGAGAGAAGTTCTATCCTTAAAGATCACAGATACTACTTCAATTTACCTTGTGGTATGTGCTAGCAATCATCAATCTGCACCGAGCAGTCACCAACACTAAGTCTCTGACCATGCCTAGAGGCCATGGGTGTGGTTCTTAGCTCCTACCAGGTACCAGTCCCTGGGTTGCACCATCTCAGCCTCACCGAAGCACTAGTTAGGGCTGCAGCTCATGTCCGAGAGCCCCTCCAAGGGTGCAGCTTCCTAAATGCCAGCTCCATCTCTGCCTTTCCACTGTGCCTAGTCCAACACACCTTCAGTCAAAGCAGTGGAGCAAGCACTCACTTTGGTGTTTCTAGCTGATGAGCCTGGTCAAGGTCAAGCACATGAAGACATTTGTAAAGCCCTCCTCTTCCTTATCTTCAGGGTTGAGATGGGGAGTCCCTCGTGGGGGAAGATCAGGAAATCTGAAGTTATATCACACACCCATCAGATGAAGAGGAAGGAACAGCGTTTTTTCGTTGCTCTACAGATAATGGGGCATTGATATTTCTTTGATAATAAAATGCATCATGATGACTCTAACCATCTATACTTTCACCGATGTGAAGAGATAGTTTTGGAAAGAAAATTATAAGTGATCTGATTTTTAAAACTCACTTTATTCTGTGAGGTTACCTTGATTCTGGGTAATGGTGTTATTCTCCAAAATAGTCCCTAATTAACTAAGTTGTGTTCAAGACTAAAGATACCCTTAGATGGATTTTACATGGTAGACAAAAGGATTGCATCAATTCAACTTTCAAAAAGCACTTTTTTGGCACTTATAGCATTCAGACTCTGGTTACTATGTCCAAAGAATAGACATGAAAACATGGATATTTGGGGGCTGGGGCTATGGCTCAGTGGCAGAGCTCAGTGGCAGGGTGCTTGCCTAGCACATGTGAAGCACTGGGTTTGATCCTTAGCAGCACCACATAAAAATAAATAAATAAAATATAAATAAATAAATATTTGTCCATCTACAAAAAAAGGAACATGGATGTTTTCTTTCCCTCCGGGAGTCCTCAGGCTGTGCTAGGAATCAGGGTTCCCTCCAAGGACAGGAAGAAGAAAACGGGGAGGAGGGAAGAAGTGTTTCTTTTATTCTTTCTATAATGCTTGCTTCTTTACCCAACAGGGTGTACAGAAAACTATAACAAAAATATGGCCTCATAAATACTGCGTGGAGAACATGTTTGCTTCCTCCCCCCATATTTATAATATTTCAGCATATTCAAAATATCTTGTAAATAAAATGTTGTCAATTTAATAAATTATAATCTATACTCATATTTTGCTTTATTAAGGACCTCCACCCACCAAGGTCCTGTGATCAATATCCAAATTCATCTCATGCTCGAAGAGTGAGACCTGCCTGGGACTTTTCTGGAACTAAAAGTTGGTACCTTTTCAAACACTGAAAAGAAAAACATCTCAAGTTTTTAAACCATTACTTGACATAAATACCGTGTCATTTAAGGACAACAAGATCTATGTCAGGATTTTTTTAAAAAGCATTTTTGAAACTTTGTTGAAACAGCTTGGAAAACATCAGGTTATGTAGGAATAGACATTCCTGACCTTTCAGATGGGTGTTTTGTTTTTCTCCTTCTATCTTTTCTTGGTAGAGCGGCAACATAAAATAACTTCCTTGTCCRTTCTCTGCTTTTGTTTATTCTGAACATTGTATTTTGACATCCCAGTTAGTTGTGTTGAAAAATTCAAGTAACTCCAGCAAGTGATAATATCTGTAGCTCTGAAGTTAATAAGCAAGACTTATGACATACAGCATGGAAGAAATAAGGCAAAGATCAAGCTCTCATGAAAAAAAAAAGTTCCATTAACTTGCCTGTGTAATTTTACAGGTATTGTGTATATGTGTACATACGTTAAACATACTGTCATAGTTGAAACAAACTTTTGCTATGAAAGAAAAAAAAATTTAAAACTAAAAATAACATGAACCCCTCATGTAAGCATGGTGGTAGGGTACTTTAGAACAAAAAGAATTGGGTGTCAATCAAAAAGAACAGATTAGCTCTGTTACCTTGGGCAAATATTGGATAAAGTAATTTGCCTTCCACTCTTTATCTGTAAAATGGTGTTCCCTACTGTAGAAAGTAGGTAAGGAGCACAGACATTTAAAATTTGTGTTTTTCCCTCTCTCCCTAATTACACACACACACACACACACACACACACACACACACACCATAGAGATGAAGACAGCTGGTCCCATAGAACTCTGAGAGGAAGTCAGCTGCTCCTCAAGATAAAGGCTGGGGCATAAGAGTGGCAGAGGGTCTCAAGTCAAGCAAAGAGGAACCATGAGGCTCCTCCTGCCTGTGGCTCTGCTGGCCACCACCATTGCGATTGCTCCCGTCCACTTCGACAGGTAAAGCCCACCACGCTGCATTCCAGTCTATACCTAGCTAGCATTCAGGGTTCTGGTCTTGCCTCCCACGAAGCCACGTCTGCATTGCCACCTGATCGCTGTCTCTCAACCCTAACAGTGGCGATTCTTCATTTGAAACTCTTCACTGAGAAGCAGCCTCGTATAGGAAGACTTGCTCTTCAGCGCTGAATGTTCCAAACCCAGCTCTGCACTAGTGCTGTGGCCTTTGGCAGTGACTAAGAGATTCCAAGGGAATGTTGCTCCAGGGCTCACATTTTCATCTTTTGCTTTCTTGAAGGGAGAAGGTGGTCCGTGTGAAGCCCCAGGATGAAAACCAAGTGAGCATCATGAAGAATTTGGCCAAAGACAACGAGGTAAGAAAGAGAGACATTGACAACTTTTTCTTTCTGTTTTTTTTTTTTTAAATCCTTCTTTCCTATTTCATTTTTAATGCCCTCGGTGCTACCAAAGATTCCAACAAAATGGCAGGTGCCATCTGGATAATTCAGGGATGTTTTTGTTTTCATGGAATACCACTTGTCTTGTCCCCAAAAAGCTTTGCAAACAACACCTTTTCCCAGGTAAAATTGTAAAATAAGGAGCAGTCAGTTCAGGGCCTCTTTCCCTCCCTGCCAGTGCCTGGTGCTCCCTACTTTCCCTACTCCCAGTCTGATCTCCATTAAACTATAAACTGATAATGTTAGAGTACTGGCTGAAATCAAGATGTGACCCATTCCAAGAGCAGGTGCACTTTAAAAAGAGACTGAAAATTAGATCAGGCCTTCAAAATCTAACAGTTGAACATCACCATTTTAGCAGTTCCTTGCTGCTCTGTATCCAAGGCACTCTGGGCCAGCCATCTTCCATCCATCATCTCTAATTCATCAGCAGATTTGCAATGCCAGGGCCCTAATTTGACCCATTTAAAACAGAATAACTGAAGTTCAAGGATGGTAAATAAAATAGTCAAGAAAACCTCAGATTTAAACCCAGAACTAAATCTGGGGTTGACTCTAGCCACAAAAACTGTTATCTCCACATCAAATCAATCAAAAATTCCACCTATTCTAGTGGCCAAATGTTCCCCACATACATGCTTTCCTTTCCATTCCACTACCCCGTCCATGTCCATCCTAACTCTTAGTGGGATAATTGTCCCTTAGCTAGCATTCAGGGTTCTGGTCTTGACTCCTACAAAGCCAAGTTTGCATTGCACCCTAACAAACAATGGCGTTTCTTCATTTGAAACTCTTCATTGAGAGGCTGCCTTGTATGGGAAAAACATGTTCTTCAGAGCCAGATTCTTTGGTTCCAATTCCAGCTCTGTGCTAGTTCTGTCGCCTTAGGCAGCTACTCAGCCTTGCAGCTCAATTTCCTTGAGAAGGCTAATCATCCTATCTGTTCTGTAAGGTTTTTATCAAGACTAAGTAAGTTTTAGATAGCACTGAGAAGCAGGCCTGGCCATGATAATCAGCACAGAAGCATTTTTCTCTATTTTTTCTCTTGATATAGAGGTAGTATTTCTCTTGGTGTAGTATTCAAAGTTGTAGATGGACACAATACCTTTATTTTATTTGTTTTTATTTTTATGTGGTGCCGGCGACCGAACCCAGTGCCCCATGMATGCTAGACAAGCGCTCTACCACTGAGACACAATCCGGGTCCCTCAAAGTTCTTTATGATCTATCAAACTGCTGCCCTCTTTAGTCTCTTGCTTGTCCACGCTCTTTCTAGTCCTTCAAGAAATATAGATATCAAAACTTTACCCAGCTGGTACACTTTTTCTCAAGAGCAATGTGTTTCCTCTTTTCCTGGCTGAGTCTTACTGATTCTTTGAGGGGATGACTCAGCTGAAACCTCCTACAAGAAATCCTCTCTGTACATCAATTCTCATGACCCAGTCTGGATTGTTCCTTCTGCTTCTGGGATACCTGTTTCCTCCTCTGGCAATGGTTAATATGTTGGAAACATGCAAAATGGATCTGTCTCACACTGAACCTCTTGCTTCTTCAATAATGGCAATCCAGCTCTGTGCCTGGGGKTTAAAAATAATTATAAAGTTCACGGAGCTCTAGACTCTTACTCCATATTGCTTTGCCAGAAGAGATTTGATGGYCCTCCTAATTGCCTTTAAATCAACTATATCTCTCATATGTCTAACTCATGCTGTCACCTTTTGRTCAAAATAAGCAGGCATGTTGATTGGTTCACAACAGCCTCGTATGGTCCCGTAATGGACTGACCTAGAGCTATAGTGGAATTCAATTGAGAGACAGCCACACAGCTGTAGTCATGCCACCATCTTGGTGAGACAGATGGAGATGGAGCATTTTCTTCTCATCTCCCAGGCWAGGAACTTGTACTTCCTTTGGATTCACCATGGAGTATGATTTTTGAAGAGCGACAAGAATTGAAATTTTCTCAGAGTTATTTTAACCTATCCTTTTAGGTCCATTCACCAAATCCAATATTCTCACATACGAAAAGATAGAAAGAAGGAAATCAAAATTTATAAATTTTGCACTTATAAATTCCTGTATGTCCCAGACTTTGTATCATTTCACGATACTCACAACACTCCCCAGGGAGCTCTGTTGGCCCCATTTTTCAGGAGAGAGGACTGAAATGTAGGATTTCTGTAACATTCCCAAGAAAGTATAGCTAAAGAATGACAGAACTGGGAGATTCTGCCTCCTTGTTGGATGTAAAGCTTCCAGAAATTTTAGGGTTTATAGGCACATCTGGCTTTGATACCTAACTAGGGGAGGAAAAATAGAGATTTTTCCATGTAAGTATCCAATTACAGCCATATGCTATGGCCAAATCAATTATGCAACTATCCTATTCAACTCCAAAATGATAGAAGCAAAGAGATTAACCAAAAGAGCTTCCTATTCTTTTTGCATGGGTAGATACAATATCCTGAAACAGTAATGTGTACATACAATTTCTTTCCCACCCCTTAACATTCAACAGTTCTTAAACATGTTTGCAAAAATCTCATTAGCTTATTAAAAGAAGAATCCATACCTCAGTCACTCTGAACCCCAAATTTCTTTTATGGTCATCTCTTAATGAATACATGCCGGGTGAGCAAATAAGCAATGTGACTAACAGAAGACTCATCTCTGCAGCTTGACTTCTGGTATCCAGATGCCATCGACCATGTAGCTGCTAACATGACAGTGGATTTCCGAGTTAGTGGGAAAGAATTTCAATCCATCCAGTCTGCCTTGGATCAAAACAGAATGCACTATGAGTAAGTCTTTTGCAAATATTCAAATGTGTTAGATACTCAAAGCTTCAAAAGAGTTGAAATTTTAAGGAAAGTATTACTATGGGACTAGTTTTAAATTGGACCTCCCCAAAAAACAAGCTCATGAAATAAAGTTCACAGTTACTTCCAAACAGACTACAGAAGCAGCCTGTGGAGATGATACAACTTTGGCAGCTCACCTCCCAACTTGAATTTGCTGTCATCTGCCATTTCTAAAATCAGCACCTTATAAGCACAGGGCCCAGGAAATCAGGCCTAGGCCATTTAGACTCATTATACCACAATGTGTCCTCAGCCCAGGGTTCACAAACTGCACATCAACCATGTGCTTGGATTCAAATTCTCCTGATACATATAAGGAAACTAAGAAGAAAAAAAAAGTGTTCATCTAGAAATTCAAATCAGAGATATGGTCATGTAAAATATATAATAAATAAATAACTCTTTATAACAGAAATTATTCCTCAAAGAAAACCAAAGCAAAGCAGGAGAATAAAGCTTATATCAAAGACAAGAGGCTCTCAAATAGCCAAAGATGCAGAAATGAGTCATTCTGGCTCCACAGAGAAATAAGAGGAAATTAGAATTTATCGAGCAATAACCATGGGCCTTGCACAGTCTGGACCCTGGGGCCATGAACAAGAAAGGAACCAGGCAGTGAACGTCACAAATCAATGCATAATTTAACAAAGTGTGTTTTTAGGCTTTCAAACATTCAGCAGTTTGACGTACTGAGAGGTCCCATTTTAACTTCGTCCGGCCTTATCAGCCCAGGATCCTCCCTTACTGAGATTCACTGCCCAAAACTACTAAGCAGGAGCTCTTTCTTTTCCAACTTGCTATTTCATGTCTTCTCCTAATTTAGYGCTTTAGTTCAAAAGACCTTTGATAACAGTGAGGTCACATGGCTGAGAGGGATCTACAGCTGCCCATCATGATTTGGTTATATTTATGACAATGCACAATATCACAAATAAATATAGATGCTATTAAAACTAAGGGAAGACATACATAAAAAAAAGACCAAAAGCTTTCTTTTTCACAGTTTTAAAATAGCAGGCGATTATCCGTGATGGTTATTGATCACTGTTTTTGTTTTCACTATTCCTTCAAGAGGAGTGTGGTAGAAATGTAGAAGCTAATGAATTGAAACCAGCATTTAATCATTTTTAATTAACATATCAAAGTGTGCTTTCTATGTTTTTTAAGTGACACCATTAAAATTGGAAATAGACACTTTAGAGCTAGACCTCCAAGATTCCAGAAATTCCTAGTGCATTCTAGACTTTACCTGTATAACAAGGTTGAGAGGAAGTCTTGATTCCACCCTGAGTAACCCTGGGCTGTTGTCTCTCCATCACTTCATGGTAGGCCTCTCTCTGTGTGCCTCCGTCACTACCCTCCTCACTTTACCTCCTTAACACCTGATGTGGATTCCCAGGGTCAATCCATCTTTACACAGTACCCAGCCCAGCTCAAATAAAGTACTGCTCTAGTCAAGTTTTATATAAATTGGCTCAAACAGCGGGGTAAAAACTGAGAAATTCTTACATCATGTACCACCAGAAGGATAAGTTATACTCCATTTATGTGTGATGTGTCAAAATGCGTTCTACTGTCACATCTAAGGAATGTGAACAAATTTTAGAAAGATACTTCTTTTAAAAAGATACTTTATCATCAGATAAAAAAATAAGATCTTCTGTTCTTCTTAGCATTTTTTTTTTTTGGTTATTTTTTTAGTTGTGGACACAACCTTTGTTTTATTTTATTTTTATKTGGTGCTGAGGTTTGAACTCAGTGCCTCACATGTGCTAGGCAATTGCTGCTCCACCACTGAGCTACACTCCTCCCACAGCATTCTTATAAAAGAGACAAAAAGCCAGTTGCTCCACTTAGGTGTGAATGCTGAAGTAAATACAGAAAGACAGCTAGGTGGGTGGACATTGCTCTCCAGCTTATCAACCCTGCCCCCCCCTTCCCCCGCCCATCCTCTCTACCTCTCCCGCCTAACCCTCAGAACCTTTGGAATCTAATCTGCATCCTCGCAAAGAGTGTGTTTTTCTCTTTGCTTTATGCCAAGATTTTTTTTTTTTTTGCTGTCTACATCAAGAAGCGAAGGGTTAATCTACCTATAAAAATTAGTTTTATCTAATTAAGACATGATTTCTAGAAATTGGCCCAAATTAGCCACAGTTGTGGGAAAGCCACATAATTAGATAGTTATCTTCCTCAAAAATATAAATATGTAAAGTGATCTGTGCAGACAAGAAGTATTTAAAATCTTGTCTCAAAGTACTAATTATATAGATAATTTTATTTGCATATTAATTATATGTGTTACTTGGTGTCAGTCAGTAACAGAAGAGGGTTCTAAGAACAGAAACATCTGGTTGGTCTCAGGCACTGGGCTGAATAAAACCATATTAAGAGGCTGGTTTGACACAATGATTTACTTAGACACCCTTCATTAGACAGTGCATATAAACCACTATTTAGTTTAAAGCATCTGTGTGTAATATTTTTTTAATTTTCAGAAAATTAAATTACTAAGCCAGATCTGATTTTAAAGTGGCATGCTTACTTCCTTTTTATTTACACTTTTACAAAGTCATAAAAGGCCAAGTCCAAAAGCTAAATAATATGCATATACTCACAGACCCAAACAGACTGGCGACAAATGTTGGACAGAAAGCACATCCATTGGACTKCGCCTCAGGGCAGGCACCATGTTTAGATGAAGCAGTTAAAAATCCTAGTGTTTCTACTAATTTTTTACATGTAGGTAGTTGATCTTTAATATATGGTCTTTTCTGTGGTCAAAAGTCAAAATTAAAAATGTTGTTAATGAAAGATTATTTAGAAAAAACGCTATTAATATAAAAATAAAACTCAAATGGTAAGACCACAGAAGATTATATGGGAAATGTAAATGACATATAGCCCAAACTGAAACAGTGCTAATTACCTAATAATTCTCAGCCAGACCCAAGTTCATATAAGTATATACATGGTCCTATCAAATAAGTGAATCATCCTAATGATTTATCTACTATGTCTTTCCATTCATTTTTTTTCTGTTCCATTTTTACATAATATTTGCCCAAGAGCAGAGCATGTATGTAAGGCCTCCTTCAAACGCTGAAGAGGTATTGGTAGAAGTGAAACCCTCAAAATGTAATAGGTAGAAAATGGATTCTGAAGCGGGGCTATCTGTACCATTCAAACCAGAGGTATTTAACACTACAATTTATCTACTTCTCCCCACCTCATTTACCTCGTTCATAAAATGGAGATCATGAAACCTATTTCAGAGGGCTTTCACAAAGATTGACAGGGACCATAAAATCCCTCTATAATGCAGGTAGAGATAAGACCACTTATGCAGGGGTTTATATGAGTGTGTACAACACACACATGCACCGCATACACACCACCCACAACATGCACACATGGAGACAGGGGATAACTAGAGGCTCACACCAGATGTTGGCTTCCCTCCTGGTGAATAAATCAGTGCCTTAAAATTTATTATCCAACACATGGTATGCCTCAGATGTTTGGGAAATCTGTATCTGTAAGCGTGGAGTTTGATGCCTGGTAACCCAATGAGGGAGCTACCAAATCAGATTTTGAGGAAACCTAAACCCATACTTTTTGAGCAGCTCCTGTCTTGTGGGCATCAGGGGAGTCCAGACCAGCTGTACAAGACACCCTAACATTGGCTCTGCCTCATGAAGCACCTTCTCCACTGCGCACGTGCACACACACACACACACACCCCAGGGCCCATGGCAGTTGCCCACCCGGCCCCGCAGTCCTCCAGTCCTGCTTTGATACTCTCTAAAAGCAACTTTAAAATGGTCAAAGGATTCATCTTGCTTCTTCTCCAAACCTCTTACCTGCCCCGTGACCTTGGAGGACAGACCTCCACAGGGTTGGTTGACTGGGCACACCCTGCACAGGCCTCTGAAGACGGAGGAGAACCCAGATCTGCTGCACAGAGGTTCCAGCTAGGGCAGTGACGTCAGAAGTCAGGTTCAAAGTCAGACTCCTGTATTTCCACAGCTGTGACAATTCTGGAAACAGACTTTACCTCCAGAAAGATGGGAGTGACAATGGAATTCAATGACCATTGTTGACACCCTTGACGTGAAAAAATGTAAATGCAGAGCTGAGCAGAGTTCCCAGTACATAAAAAAGACTCAGTAAACATCAGTCACTAGGATTATGAAATCCTCAGTGATAAGTGTTCATCCTGTCACCTACATTTAAGAATTTTTTTAAACAAAATAAGCCAATGTTGGAATACTAAAATAATATCTGGGAGAAGGGAATTTGGTTTCATCTGCTTAAGCCTGGCTGCCGGATAGTGGAAGGGCTCATGAAAATAACATCTGGCCCTAGTTCCTCATTTCCAGCCTTAGGCTTAATTTCCAGTCCCTATCAGCAACAATCTGGCGCCATTCCGAAGTCCTCATGCAGCTGCATTTGTGGGAAGGTCGTATGTTAGCTCACATGATTTTCTGTTTTGCTGCTGTTCTCACAAGAGCTAAATTGATATGTGTAAGTCTAAAAATATTCTTAGATACAAGCTTTCTTGTGACTAATTAATACTGCCTTGTGTTATGAATCAGCCTCTGGGATCACAACATTTCTCTCTCACCTGATTCCTCCACTTCAATTATGCAAGTGGAGCACAAGCTATGTACTCTCTTCATAGCTTAAAGCAACTAATTATAACTGTAGTGACCACCCAAAATAGAATGTCAAACCTCCTCCAGCTTCAGGTGAGCTTTAGTGCAACATGCCCCACCTGGGTCCAGGATTGTGGTCAACACATGTACTGTCTCAGAAATCCCAGATTCATAAGTCAAAAGCAAAGCACACAGAGAGTTAGAGATAATGTGCATAATAATGTGCTTGTCAGTGCTGTTAATGGGAATCAATATTCATGAGCAGTACTTGGTCCCATGTGCTAAATAAACTCTAATTAGGAGTAGACCACATTTGTGTTCCGCATCAGAACCCAGATCCGTCAGTCAATCTGCAAGAAGAAACTAGGCAGAGAGCAGCTCTGCAGTGTCACAGGCTATTACAAGAAACTGAAGAAATCAAAGAGTCAGACAACCACATACCAGCAATTCTGGGTTAAAGATGTGCTCATTCTGGAAAGTGGTTGTCAATTTTTTGACTCGGCCCCACTATTCTGAGGCTCCCTAGAAACCTGGGGCAGGCCAAGCACTTCTCAGATTTTTCTTCTTTCTGTCYTCATCACAGTCCTGGGTGGTCTTTTGTGGTGTCCTCATATAAAAGTAAGAAACTGAAGGTCAGAGAAATTCTTAAAGATCCCATTAAGCATCAAGTAGCAGAACTGTGGCTGGAACTCAAGAACGCTGACCACAGTTCTCCGCTTCCTCAACTAGATAAATGACTAGATGRCTAAATTACCAGAGCAAATGCTAAAAAATTAAATGTAGCTTCCTGCATCCAGGACTCGCTGCTAACAAAACACTTGCATTTCATTACCAAAAGCARGGCAATGGCTGTATTTATATGGAATCATCAAGAAGTGAGTGAATCCAAATAAGGAAATTGTTGGACACATACAACCTCAAAAATTCTTTTTTAACCCGGGTGCAGTGGCACACATCTGTAATCCCAGTAGCTTGGGAGTCTGAGACAGAAGGATGGTGAATTCAAAGCCAGCCTCAGCAACTTAACAAGTCACTTAGCAACTCAGCAAGACCTTATCTCTAAATAAAATATTGAAAAAGGGCTGGGGATGTGGCTCAGTGGTTAAGTGACCCTGAGTTCAATCCCTAGTACCAAAAAAAAAAAAAGAAATCCTTTTTAAAAATTTTTTTCTTTAAAATATTTCCATCATAATACATAGTTCTCTATACTGTAAGATAGATATTTTGAATATAGTTTACCTTGTCTGGTAAAGAATTATAATTGTAAATGTGAATTTTCATGCTGTTGTAAGAAAGTAACAGCCTTAAGAGATACAGAAACTGCCAAAGTGTGTGGGGTCATTTGGACAGAAGCAARAGACCACTTACTCTTGTGTTCACTAAATCCTTTTGTTATAGGTGGTTTTACTCTCCTTTTCTTCTGTGGTCTATCACCTACTGATATCAGCGTGCTTGCYCTCAGCAAATCATTTTCCCAGATCCAGTAATTCACTGGAGACTCAATAAAGCTTCTTAGAACTATGTGTAAAAGAAGAAGACCAAGGCTCTTGGGAGGGTGATTGTAAACCTCCTGTGATTGCAACATAATATTCAAAATCTCAAGGAATATAGTCATAGTCATCAATGCAACCTTACCTCAGTGGACAATAATAGATCATATAAATAAATATTGCCATATTAATCCCGAGTGGCATTCAATAGCATACTACACGGTAAAAGAAGTTTTCCTCCTGAAACAGTGAAAAAGGCATGCCCTTTCTCATTACCGTTCTTTTCGTTGTTTAAAGGGTTTAGCCAWTGCAATGAAGCAAGGGGGAAGAAGGAATAGTAATTGGAAAAAATAGAAATTTTAATTATTTTCAGAAAAAAATAACTGCACAGAAAACCCTGAAGATACAACTAAAATTTTTTTAAAGTAAAAAGACATTTTTAAGCCAATAAAGTAGCTAACAGGTATTAGCAAAGCAATTTATGTTTTTAAGTATGGATAATAACCAACTCAAAAATGCATTCAGGAATAATACACTCATAAGGCTAATTTAAAAATATATGAATAAGCAATCAAAATATACAATATTTTACTCAGGAAACAAAAAWATATATATATTAGGGTCTGATATTAATAATAAAATTCTTCTCAAATTTATTCACAATTTGATAATAAATTCTATCAAAAGTTTATTTTTCTGATGATTCTAGTATTTTCCAAAATGATTCTAACAAAACATTTATTAAAGGCAAGACTATTGAAAAGAAGAACAAGGAACCCCTTTATCCAATATTAAATCATACTATATTTACATATGGCTCGTTATTACACAAGAGCTGGAGAACAGAATCATGGATCTAAATAGAATATCCCAAAATGGACAAAACACATAAAAATATGCATGTATCATGATGAAGGTGATATTTTTGAAATATAAATCTTGAAGTCAAGTATTTTGGGTCCAAATTCCCAACTAACTCCAACACATCCAAATTGCGAGTATGTAACTTTCTAAGCAATAATTTCCCTATCTATAAGATGTGATAATATTGACAAGATTAAATAAAATCATGTATATAAAGCAGCAACTGACTCCTATTAAACAGATGCATATCTGAGTGCCAGAGGAAATGTAAGGTAGACAGTCGATGTTTGTCTGGAGTTGATGGGAGAGGTCAGACCTGCAGATTCAAGCACAGCTGAACATCAGGAAACCCTTAGAGGGGAGAGCCWCCATGAGAGGAGGCTATAAGACTCAACAAGAGATGAAAACCAGAAGGTGGAGGTGTGAGCCTCTGACCTCCAATATTAGCCTCCTAGGGATTTTGCCTGCCTCTTTTTTCAGCCCCTCCAAACTGGCATAGCCATTTAAAAGYTTCAGCAGTATAGGAAAGTTGTTTAAATACTTTGTGCCTCAGTTTCCTCATCAGTGAGATGAAGATCATGATCTCATGCGAAGAAGTGTACATAAGGAGGTTAGATCAATACTTGGCACCTGGCAAGTGCTGTGAACCTGGTTACTAACATCATCATGGTAATTGACCTTCAAGTTTCCCCAGCTCTCCYAGTGTGAGTTAATAAGAGGTGGTCTGGGGATGTGTGCATAAAACATCCATTGCTACCTGCTCTGTGTGTATGTGAATGTGTGGGTGCTTTAGAGACGGACAGGGAATATAGTAACAGGATAATATGAGCCACATTGTGTAATTCTAAATATTTTAGTAGCCATTGAAGAAGTAAAAAGCAAKACATATAATTAATTTTAGCAATATATCTTATTTAACCAAATACACCCAAAATATTACCATGTCAATATATTATCAATAGAACACTTATGAGTGAGATGTTTTCCATAGTTTTTATACCGATTCTTCAAAATCCAGTATATACTTGRCATGTGCCCYATTTYAAGTGCTCCATAGCCACCTGTGACTAGAGATTATCATTGGATAGACAGCTCTAGATAAAGAGGGAGATCAGAAGTCAGACACTTGTCAAGAGGAGGTGGCTAGAAAAGAAAAGGGGCAAGCTTGATTAAAGATAGAGGAGAAGGAAGAGAAATTTTCTGCAAATAAAAGATAACTATGTTTATCTTTCTCATGATAAAATGTGTATTTTATCACCCCCTATCTAACAGAATCCTGATTGATAATCTACAAGAAGAAATTGAGAAACAGTTTGATGTTAAAGAAGCTGTCCCRGGCAGGCACAGTTATGCCAAATACAATAACTGGGACAAGGTACAGTGCAAAATGTCTATTATTTTCTTTGATGGTGGTTGGCCGGGGGGTATCCAGGAATCGAACTCAGGGTAACTTGACCACTGAGCCACATCCCCAGCCTGATTTGTTTTGTTTTGTTTTGTTATTTAGAGACAGGGTCTCACTGGGTTGCTTAGCGCCTCGCTTTTGCTGAGACTGGCTTTGAACTCTCAATCCTCAAGTCTCAGCGACCCAAGCCACTGGGAGCCCCTGGGTGCCACCGCACTCAGCCCCATTATTTTTAAAAAGGTGACCTTTAGGTCTGGGATCGTGGCTCAGTGGTAGAGTGCTTGCCTCACATGTGTGAGGCACTGGCTTTCATTCTCAGCACTGCATATAAATAAAAGAGTAAAATAAAGGTCCATTAACAACGTAAAAATTTATTTTTAAAAAAGTGATCTTTATCATTCATTTTCATATAGTTTTCCTTTACTCTAATCCCTCAATACTGATTTTGCTCCTAAGATTGTAGCCTGGACTGAAAAAATGGTGGATAAACATCCTGAAATGGTCTCTCGTATTAAAATCGGATCCACTTTTGAAGATAATCCGCTGTACGTTCTCAAGGTAAAAATGATTCAAAAACCACCAATTCTTATTGTTATTGAAAAACTTGAATTTAAATGTTACTTCGTGACATACCTGGGCCAACTGTGAAAAGGCCAAAAATCTGACCTTCTGAAGAATATCTAAACTCTAGACATCGAATCAGGAATAGACGTTCACAAGTGGTTTTTGATCAAGCCAGGAAAGTACCTGAATAAATTGTCAGAGGCTGCAGAGTGGACAAACCCAGACAACACCTCAATCCACAGCTTCCTTATGGGAGTGTGTGATGCTCCTGGTATTTCCACTCCTTTCCACCCACTAAAACTCAATGAAACTGATCAGTGAATGTCTTCAAGAGAAATTTACATATCAGACACCGACAGAACCCCAGAACAGTACAGGAGGCATTCCAACTCATGTTGGTGAGGCATTTCCCTCTGTAACAGGGCTGATCATTGTCACTTGGTACTACTGGACTTCTGCACACTCAAAGGTACCAGTCCCAGAAGCATCCCCTCCATAACTAGGAAGTCCATCCTGACCCTGACTGCCATTCAGTGGCTCCAACCACCCAAAACATATTGAAAATGACAGACCATCAAGTAGGARGCGCTGTTCTTCCTCCTCATTCCAAACACAACACAAAATCTTCTCCACTCCTGGTGAAACACTCCCAGTTTATAAAAAACAGAAAAACCAAAAGGAAACAGAAGTAACTTTATAATCTACATCTCAAACATAGAATGTTAGCAATGGAATAAGAAAAAATAATATATTAAGTTTTTCTTAAATAAAAAACTAAAAGCAACTCTGACACTAGGAAAATTTTTTAAATACAAGGTAAACAGCTTGTGAATTACACACAGACATTTAAGGATATGTGCCACAGTCTTCCCTGAGAACTATGTGCAAACACAGCTCSCATCCACCAACAGGGGAAAGAATTGCCCTGAGGATATGAGTGAGGTTCTGGATGTCAGGGTGGATTAGTATGTGAATTCAGGCAAAATAGCATCTTAAGTTCATTTTTCAATAGATTGGGAAAAAAGATGAAAGAAGAAAGGCTGTCTTCATGGACTGCGGCATTCATGCACAAGAATGGATCTCCCCAGCATTCTGCCAGTGGTTTGTCTATCAGGTGAGTGCCTGGGGCACACTCACAGTTCCCCTTTGAGGGTCTCTTCGCTGCATTTTACTGAGTGGTGACACACCCTTTCCAGAGGACAGCAGATCCAGTCACCTGGAGGAGACTACACTTGGTGTTTCCAGGCTGAACACTCTAGGTTTTATTCATCATCACAGTTTTTATAAACCTGACCCCTKCCTTCAAACTTCTTGAGCCCCACCTGAAAGTTTAGGAAACTAAAAGAAACACCTTTATTTTGGTAAAATACAAGGTMACCGCTTGTATTTTGGGCTATAATATGAGAGTTTTTTCTGTAGTTATTTCCCCTATATAAGTATGGGAAATCTAAAACCACTCTTTTATTATACCCTTCAGATTTTTTTCTCCAGTAAGCTCAAAAGAGAGTTCTTTGGTTTCAGTTTAGCTATCTCACTGGCCATGCATGAACTGGATATTTTCATACTTATATTCTCTTTCCAAGTGAAAAAAAAGAGSTCATTTTTAAAAGATAKATCCAGTTTTATATGTTTTTTATTCCGCTTACTCAACTGACTCTTGCCATCTTTAAACTTTCTCTTTCAAACAACTTGTGCACAGAATACACTGACAGAGGTTGTCTGGCCATGAACATATTTACTAGGAAGGAATCTGCCATAGAACTGAGCTCTCCCTGTAACTGTCCCTGCTGAGGACCTAGAATACCCCCTTGCTCAATCCACAAGGGAACACGCATCCTAGCCTTGTACATAACTCCCAAGAGAGGCACCTGGGAGAGTTTTTCCATCAATACTGAGAGARATCTGTTGTAGACCCAGAAAACCCAGATAATTAGAGAAATTTCAGTCAGATATGAGAAAAGTGTTGATTGGTCATTCTCTAAATTCTTGGAATTTTYATTAATAATTTTTTTTGACTGGGGGTGTAGCTCAGGGGTACAGCATGTGCCTAGCATGCACAAGGCCCTGGATTCAATTCCCAGCCCTAAAGACAAAAATATTTGTAACTGTTTTATTATATATCTTTTCCAATACGTCCATACTCCTGCGCCTACAGACCCAATCTAGGTTTATGTAAAGGATAAGTTGTACCACTAAAGTAAGTTGTACTACAAATTTCCCATTTGGCCTTCTGTAAAATGTACCTTAAATA